GGAGGAGGAGGAGGAGGAGGAGGAGGAGGAGGAGGAGGAGGAGGTAAGTCAACTGCACATAGAATAGTATCTATTCAACATAAATAGATTACTAACGAAAAATTCAGATACATTCGATTGCAAAATCATTGTTGGATTCAAAAGAAAGCTGAGACCGAAATGGCACATGGGAATCGAAGTACGTTATCTTTGTATCTAGTTGTACACTACACTATTTGTAGAATGTTCATAAGAACCGTTGCCATGTTTGATATCGGCTGTGTATATCAAATGAATGCATCAGAGAATCCATAATAGATAATATAAATAGACAATATACGATATATATATATTATTATTTTCAAGAATACCTTTCGATCTGAGCTTCAATGCTCAACGTACACGTTTTGAACTCGACAATAATTTTGCAATTGAGTTTATACATAAGATAGTGTCCATCCTACATAAATAGATTATTCACGAGAAATTCAGATATATGATAGAAAAAATAGTATAGGTATGGGGGCTTAAATGATCATAATATGTACTGGAGAAACCGAAGAGAGGGCCGGTTCATTTTCAGTGACTAGTTTAAGGCATTGAAACCACTTTCAAATTTGTGGGAAAATTTAAAAAAACCGGGTCGATTAGACATCGCTGTGTATTGTGAGACTGTTTTAGGGGAATATTTCATTAAAAGGGCGTATATTTTGTTCCCTAAAATAAAATAAAAACACTTTTACAAGAGTAAAACTACATGAACGGTATCTATGATGACCTCGTTGATTAGTTTCATGGACTTTGTTTTTATTTTATTTTATTTTATTTTATTTTTATGGATTTTTATGTTGACCTCATGGACTTTTTCATGGATTTTTTATCTAAACAGGAAGCTGCTCAGACAAGGACAGGAGATGCAGAGGGTGGAAAAGCTATTGCAGAAGTAATGACTACGTTAAACGAAACTGCCAGAAAACCTGTAATACGTGTTAAGGTGAGTACGGATGTTGGACACAGGCATCCCAACCACCTGCTTTAACCTGACCCACTCTCAAATTAGGTCACTTTATCTTCAAATTCAACATTTCCCCTTGTAGCCTCAAATGCATGATATTGATCAGTCAGCTGAGTCGTGAATTTCATTATATACCTTCAGTGAAATGCAAGCATTGCCTTCATTAATCATGTACATTTTTACTGAGCATTTACAATCAGTGGTAGATATTCCATATGACCGGAAATCACTTCTATTTATGACAAGCTATCCGGGCATAGGTTTTTATTCTCTTCCCAAAAATAGTCCCCCTTCACAGTTGCCTGCGCCATCTTGAAAGGTAGTCGTGCCATTATTTACAGAACTATTATGGCTAGTGAAAAAAGGCCCATATTCTTTAGGTGCATGTTATATCAAGCTACCATTTTGATTAACAATGACAAAGCATTTCTCAAATGTAGCTTCTCTTGTTAGATCAACCAACATGGCGGCTATTTCAATGTTATATACAGTCAATTCAAAAAATATTGTCGTCGACCAACTCAAGCATACGCAACTGGACCGAAAGGAACTCTGGGTAGCAATCATTGAAGCCGAGTTGACTCCATTATTTAATCTGACTAGTTATGCCTGGTTTACAGCACAAACCTTTCGTAGGCGAGCGGGAAGTGTTGAAGGAGACGTTTTTTAAAAATGCCTTCATATATTCGAAATTGTGAACTGAATCATAATTACTTTGTTTTTCTTTCCCTAAACCCGAAGACATGCATTTGATGGATTGTTTCTCGCCATTATTATCTTATTACTAGCGGGAACAATTTATTCAGAACGAATATTTAATCGCTCCAGTGATTTTTACCCATATTTCTTTCGGTCCAGTCGCGTAGGCTTGAGCCGGTCGACGACAACGTTTTTTGAATTGACTGTATATCTCAAGGGATTCTGAGTCATGTGGTTGCAGACCAAGAATAAATTGAGTCTAAATTGAGTCCTGTTTATTTTCTTCTTTACATTCAGATCATTCAGCCGACGTCACCAAGCTGAATCGACTGATCTCTGCCTAAATGTTTCACTAGCAACTACCACGGCAGTTATAGATTTGTCAATGTCTGTTAGTAACCTAAATAACACCCAAATAAATATTAAACATCTTTTATAAGATGTATAATACGTCTGTCTATCTGTTTCTTTAGAGGACCTCACATTGGAGTCAATATACTCGACCCTCATTCCAAAGGGACCCCCCCTGRCAGAAATCAAAAATTAAACAGCGGTCGTACAGTTAAAAAAATCGCGGGCTAACCTTTTCTTAAATAAAATTGCCCCAATATATTAACCAATGATTACTGTCAAACCACCTCAAGCGTAGAGGTCATTAATGACTTTATTTTTGGATTCTTGATTTCATTATTCGATTCGAATATTCATTATTTATTATTTGGCGCATGCGCATAAGTTCTTCAGCCCTGTCGATCCCACGTTGGATATGAACGATAACATTTTTTAAAAACTGCCCCAAGACACGAATTACATAATCATAAGCTCAACTGGGAAGGATTCTAAGGGAAACGTTTACTACTATTGTTAAAATTGTTAATAAATTTCGCGCGCGTGATATTCACATTTCTGACTGTATAAACATTAATTAGATAACCTTATTCTATTGGGTGGTTACCATGGTGATGACATCACGTGATAAGGTGATTATTTAAGCCAGGTGTGTTTAATTTACCATTCTTACTGTGCAGCACTTGTCCGGTAAGTATTTGAGAAACTTTTAAGAAAGCAATTACTAATAATAATCCGTAGAGTCTAGACCAACTACCTAATGCCTGGGTTTTTAACTCTATTATAATCAAAAACAAATCCAGTTTGAAATTCTCCATGCTGCTCCAGTCAGGGTTTATAGCTTCCTCGACGTTTGTTGAATATTCATGTATTCTAGTAAAAGTTCGTGGAATTTCAAATTTTTTTGTATTGTTGACTGAAGTTGTGAACTCTTACTTAACCGTTGGTATTTGTGAATATTCTGATGCTAAAACGAGGCTAGCCCTAATAAAACTAGTCAAAATTTCAAAAAAACACCAACTTTCCCCAAATAAAAGTGTCGTTCGTGTGGCTATCAACTCTATATCCATATTTGGTTAACTTACCTTTTTTGGAAGTGAAGATAGGTTTCATTTTGGTAATTTTCTAAAGCTTTAAAATGTCGAAAATATGAAGCAAAACTTCCAGATATTATAGCGAAGAAAACCTTCAAATATGTCCACCATCTTGGATTTAGCTTAGAGACCTGGCCTTTGACAAAGGAAGCCCAAACGATTTCAAACGAAAGGGATCTCGCACGAACGAYAATATAGGTATCAATTTTGATTTTATTTAATGGTTTTACTGCATGTGCTCTTATAATTCTAAAAGGTAGCTACTAATCCTTCTGGAACTACGGCAGTACACGGCCACCCAGGCGAGAAATCCCAACCGTATCAGAGACTTCATAGTTGTTTGGTACTCTAGAGATTCTAGTGTGAGGATCAGAGGTTTCTGGGTCTGTTTTATAGTGTGATGAGTTTATTACCTTCCCATGCTGGGTCAACACAGACAGCGCTAGGTCGGCGACTTCAAGGGTGTTTTTGGCATTCAGGTTCAGTACATATTTCCATCTGTGCCAATGTTAAACAGTTATTCAATATTTAACAGTTATTCCACGAACTTGAGTCGTACATGAAAAGTAGAAATTTCTTTATTAAAGTAACTGAAAATTAGCCTTTCTTATCACCAAATACTTTTAGCCAAATTTAGTTGCTTTTTTTGTGTGTTTTGTTCTCAAGAAGAGCCGTTCTTATAGCCTACTCAGAAAGTTTGGCAAATCTGTCGGCCATTTTGAATTTTCTCTACTAGGGCATGGGCATAGTAAATAAATAGCCAATCAGAACGCGCGGTTGCTCATATCCAGCGGTTGTCGTGGCTGTCTATGTGTAGTTTAAGGCTGTATTTGTCATCACTTTGAAATACATATTTTCTTATTTGTGGACGAAACAAAAAGTTCTGTATTAAATAATTGAAGGTAAGACTTTTTTTTTTTGATATTCATTTTTAATTCACGGCATATTTTCTCATCTGTCCGAGTGTTGTGAACGATTAAATAAAAACTATTGTCAGTTTTTAGCAACAATATTCTAATCATTGTAGGCCTTTTGTTTTGACACCGCGTTTGTTTTCTAAGCTTGTCTAACATTAATTATTTTATCAGTATTTTATCAATATAAGAAGAGATCGGAAGCATCTGCTCTGTCTAATATTAGATGCCGGCTGTCACACATATACAGCACATCAAAGCAATTTGCCGTCTGCGGTAAGGAAGTAAGTTTTTTGTAGATGGCAATCAAGGCGTTTCTATGGCATTCCATAGGCAACTTTGTGTTTTCCGACAGTGTCATCATGGAAACACTTTGACTGACGACCACCAAAACGGTAGCCCTTTCTCGTAATATAAGGGACTATGGAATAGCACCAAGCTTTATCAGTTTTACCCTCGCGACTTGAAGAACAAACATTTACCTACGCAAAGGAATTTTCGTAAAACATATATGTAACAGTTTAGAATCAAAGTCTTTAAACCGAAAACTTTCAAAATTACAAGATTAATAACTTGAAGTATTTGAACAAATGTAACAAATTTATGTTTTCAATTAAAATTTCGTACGAAAAGTTACTCTGAGAAATTAATTTTGTGAATCGACTGTCACTGGACACAACTGACCAAACCCAGCCAAACAGACCTAGCGCTGCCTGTGTTGACCCAGCATGTGAAGATAATTCACTCAACAGACTATAAAACAGACCCAGAAACCTCTGATCCTCACACTAGAATCTCTAGAGTACCAAACAACCATGAAGTCTCTGATACTGTTGGGATTGCTCGCCTGGGTGGCTGTTACTCTCGCTGAAGATGATGACAAAACTATGGCAGTGGTAAATGTTAGAAAGTCTATTTGTAAAAATAGTCCTCAATTGGTTTCCACTTCGTTTCAACCAATCACTTTTAGAAAATGCTCTTTAGCCAATCAAGTTTGAAAACCATTTGCATGTTCACGTGCATGTTCTTTTTCCTCTTGTGGCCGTGATATGAGATCTTGTCGAACTTGTAATTGTATTTGTAATTATAATTGTAGCATTACACGTATTATTTGTTTGGCCTTAGAAATACCTCAGTCAGTTCCACTACATCTCACCATCTCGTTCCGGCAACCACGATGTTAAAACAGCCATTAGAAATTTCCAGAGGTTTGCTGGTCTTCCAGTAACTGGTGAAATCGATGAGGCCACCGTTCGTCAGATGAAGAAACCTCGATGTGGAGATCCTGATGTGGACGACAGTGGAAGTCGTATCAGAAGGTAAGACGTACTGAAAGAATGACAGCGATATTTGGTACAACATCAATAATAAAAACAAGAGAAATAGCATTAAGAATAAAAACAGGTTTCAGTTATTAAAACAGTAATTACAAAAACAAGTTACATCAAGTTACTTTAGAAACAGCAGTAATGACAACAACAACAACAACAACTATAGTCGAGGGACAAAACAGTTACAAAATCAGCAACAGCTAGCAACTATTTATAAGAGCAGAGCGACGGCCACAAGCATAAACACTAACGTCAGCAACAATGACGGACTTATAAACTAAATGTTTCTTCATCCGGCATAACAACAGACGAACCACCACTAGATCCACTCATGCAAAAGGAATTTGTTTCCGAGCTGTCGGGCATAAGCGCCCCTCTTTGAGGATTGCAATGGAGTTCCTCATCATAACCGATATTAAACATTTAGTTTATAATCATGACACCAATTTGCAAAACAAAACTTGAAATCACCGACTTTATTAGTAATAGTATGAACTGTAAAAAAACTGTAACATCTTCAGTTGCATTCATCATCGTTGTCTATGCTCTCATTGACGATGACTGATTAGCCAATCAAGTTATAATAATAATAATATAATAATAAATCTATTACTTATAACGCGCATATTTCATATGCATATGCTCATATGCGCAGCTAAAAGTACATATAAAATAAAATAATATGGCTCAATAAAATATAATTCTAAAAAGGATATGCAATATATAAGATAACTAATGTAACTAAGTAAGTACTGTAATGTAATAACTAAGTTGCTAAAAAGCTAACCGTTATTGTAATTGTAAGATGATATTCAATTTATTGCATATATGCTATGTTTTATTTCTAGGTACAACTTGGCCCGCTCCAGATGGAACAAGAACCATCTGAAAGAAGAATTCACTGTTAAATCGCATTTTATTTATTTATTTATTTATTTATTTTTATCCATTTATTTTCGTTGTATGACTTTATTTTAATCGGTCCAAATTATTCAGATACAAGTTGGGCTCCAGATGGAACAAGAACCATCTGAAAGAAGAATTCACTGTTAAATCGCATTTTATTTATTTATTTATTTATTTATTTTTATCCATTTATTTTCGTTGTATGACTTTATTTTAATCGGTCCAAATTATTCAGATACAAGTTGGGCTCCAAATGGGGCAAGAAACATCTGACATACTTCGTTGAGTACGGACGTGACTTATCGTCTGGTGAACAGGATAGAATCTTTGCAAGAGCTCTGAAATACTGGGCTGATGTTTCTGGGCTGAGCTTCTCTAGAGCCTCAAGCGCATCTTCGGCTGACCTCAAAGTCTGGTAGGTTTCTGTGATGAATCATTAATATATATAACATATTTATTTTCATCTATACTCTATTTAGTTTTATCTATCATTTGATTTTGCTGCTCCATAGCTTCGGAGGCAAGTCTCACGGCGGTAGCTCAGAGGGAGTGTGCTCCGAAGTCTTCGATGGACCAGGCAAGGTTTTGGCCCACGCCTTCTTCCCCAGTGATGGACGCTGTCATTTCGACGAGGACGAAACATACACAGACGGAACATCAAGCGGAACCAATCTCTTGTGGGTGGCGACCCACGAGTTTGGCCATGCCCTTGGCTTACATCACAGTGACGTCAGGAATGCTGTCATGTACCCTTACTATACTGGATACGTACCAAACTTTAGACTCCAACAAGATGACATCAATGGAATCCAAGCTCACTATGGTATGTAACGTGGGCTTTTTTTATTTGAGATATGCTACGCAAGATAACTACTCAAAAAACCCCTTGCCCAAGTGCACACGCACGCCTGTGCACGATTTTCTATCACAAATATTCAGGTCTATACACAATAACATTATGGGTAGTAAGTAAGATGTTGTTTTGTAAACAAAAATTAATTTCAGGAGGACCAGGCTCTGGAGGCACAAGCACAGGCGGAGGCGGAAGTAAGTAGCTATCATGATTTCAGCCATATTACTTAAATGATGACTGATGATGAACATCAAACCGAGACGAACGGTGAGTCACATATTTACAAACTAAAGTAAACTGAACAGAAAAGTTGAAAAGGAAAGCAGAAAGCACTTTATAACATCAGTCGACGCGATAGCAGACACTGCGATGTCTTTATATAACCAACAGAACAAGAAACAACTCACCGTTCGTCTTTTTGACTGTTTTCATTACTATGCGCTGAAATAGATTGCCGTAAATCAAATGAATTATTCGGTTCGGCAATTGCATACTTTGATTGACAGCAGCGTATTGCCCGATTAACCTGTCGCGACTGTTGTCTTGATAAGCGCGTAACAATGAAACACTGGTAACATTAGGCAGAGGAGCCTTGAATGAAATTATTATCGTTGTGATTTCATCTTCAGGTTGCGTTGATACTGACTCTAACTGTCCGTACTGGACAAGTTACTGTACTAACAACGACTGGGTTAAGGATAATTGCAAGCGGACATGTGGTACTTGTTGAGGTATGAAATTGTAGTGATGTAACCAAGGTTTAGTTTTTAAACTCCACCTGTTTATAACTATAGAGGCTTTCCATCATCGCACGTGATGGTAGCCATGACACACAGGAGCAGTTGAATCTGGTGTAATTCGATTTACTTAAGAAAGAATTCTGTTTTATTGTACCTTCTGTCATGGATGTCATCACGTGATAGGCTTCCTCAACCGCATTTAAACTTATTTTACTTCAATTAAATACATGGATGMCTTAACAAAAGCCAAGTAGTGCGACATCTAGAAAATGTCCATATCTTGGAAACCTAAGATACCACTTTAACTTGGCCGTAAAGTTGTCACCCATTTTAGACCACGTGTGTAAAGAAATGATACTCTAGGGAATGACATGTGGGCTGAAATGGAAGAACATTACGCCCAAGGTAAAGAGGTATATTCAAAGAGGTATGAGGTATATTCAACTTTTAACAGTGACACCTTCCGTCCGACAGAAGACAGATTGAGTTTTTACTCCCTTTATTTTCAGATGCCTTGGTATTATTTGGGCAATCTGTCGGTTAAACAAGTTAAACCGGTTACTGCAGCACAATGAAGCAATATTGATCAGTATATGTAGTATTTAGTGACTTTAGAGGAATTAAATGCGATTTATAAAACATATTTGTTTTTCCTATATTGACAGCTGTTTCGAATAATATTTTAACATGGTAATGCGCTAAATACCAGCATGTACTACGGGTAGTCTCATCGCATCTTATGAGATATGATGTCCTTTCAACTTCCTGTTTTTACTCAAGTATGTTAAGGCCTGGATTGAAGACAATTTGTGGCTAAAATCATTTTTTTCTTCTTATCAATGTTGTCGTTTCTTACTCAAAACCTCGCCAAAATTGGTATGGCCACATTCTTGAGATAAGGCGGTCACGTGACCTTGATCCTCATCTTTCTTTCTTTCTTTCTTTCTTTCTTTCTTTCTTTCTTTCTTTCTTTCTTTTTTTCTAGTTCTCCTAACACACATGTCAACATGGATGATACGCTCCTCAGTTATGGAATTTGCATTTGTCCTAAGCCTAGTTCTCAAATAGGAAGGCTTTTAAGCTTTTCATTAAGAATTCCACATAAATAAATTAATAACGTCTATAGACTGATGTCTGGATTCCCGTTAGGTATTCGAGTAAATGACACTTGCCGCTTTTTAGTTTCTGTAAACTCAAAAAAGGTTTCATTAAAGTATAAATAATGAAAGGATATTTTCTATTTGCATAGTACACACATAAAAATTTCCCAAGGTGCTTGAAAAATTTTTTTTAGATACAATCCTTATCGCAGTACAATACCTACGATATAGGTAAGAGAGAGAGAGAGAGAGAGAGAGAGAGAGAGAGCTAGAAAGAGTGTGTAGACATGCTGACGAAAAACGACCACAAAACAGTTTATCATTATTTAGGCTTCCATACTTTTTATCTCCCCATTTCAGTYCACTTGTCATTCCCTTTAGTCTCCCCCACACTGAGCCGCTTTCAGTGTCGTCACGCAACGCTTACATTCCCTTAGGTAAGGTGTCTTTGTTTTTAGGCATCACTTGAATGATACATTGATATCTATGAAACTCAAACAAAGGATTTCATTTTCAAAAGGTTGGTTTATCAACATCTGTTTTAATTATCCTTGAATTGCTTGTTAACGATTTTTACATATCTCTTCTCGACTCTCGAGGAAAATCCTCCAATTATGATATGAAAATTTTAAATTATCTATGGCATAAATAAACGCAGTTTTCAATGAACTCCTTGGAATTTATGGGTTCCGAGAAAAAGAAATAGTAATCGCTGTCTTAAGTATATCATTTATTCAGCTATGAATGTGTTATGAAATGTTCAAATTCTGAAATTATCGTGCGACACAAAATCTTATTTGTTTTGGCGATAAAATCTGAAAATTTCCAATGGTTTAAAAACAGTATTTTGAGGAGGAAATTGTTTAGCAATGTGTTAAGATATCCATGGAGAGACTAAATATAGAGTTGTAGGGAATAAATCGAGCCGAATTCTGTAGTTTTCTTCGATAATAAATGATGGCCCAGGAATGCTGTTATAACTGGGAAGTCGAAAAACTTCGCAGTTTGATGCTATAATCATAAGCGACATTCTCAAGTTGTTTTTATATCAGCAGCTGAAATTTTACAAATCGAGAATGGAAAAAACTAGTAACGCCTCGCAAATGAATGAAGCAAAATATTAAATAATTGATAATATTTTCTAATTGATTCATAGACGCTTGTTTTGCTCATTCTGGATCCATTCTCAGCAGCGTTTGACGTTCGTGGGCTAAGCATTAGCGATAAAATGTGTCTTGGTTAAGAAATCATAATAGTGGAATGCAAAGACAGTTTAGGTTGTGGTTTCTTGAAGATCTGTTTTGAATTGAAACCACCTGAGGTTGAAAGAGGTGTCTCTTTAGAAAGCTCTTAACAATGAGATTTTTAAAAAGTCATTTCGGTGCATTCCTATTTTTTTGTATTATCGTGTATGCAGATTACACTACGGCTTTAAAATGTGAGAATCTTACTGCGAACCATACAGACTTTAAGGTCGATTTTTGGTCATTTTTCCCGTATTCAATCAACAAGAACAAGACAACTACGAATAGCAAACATAAAGGTAAGTTTACGTTAAAATCTTAGACGCTATAATAGTTTTTAAGTGTTTTTTCATGGTGATTTTTGACAATATCATGCCACCAGTGATGGACTATTCATTAACTATTTGAAAGTAAGCCTCTTTTAATGCCCTTAAATTGCCCAGAGTTTAGTTTCACACAACCAGCAAGAACTTGAAATATGAACTACCATTACATGTATTTTTTCAAATACCCTCGAGGCCCATAGTCATGCAATAACATATAGTAACCGATTGTTTATCCACTCAAATGCCCTGCAATTTACTGTCCATTGACCAACATTCTTCTGAATTTTTCTTGAAATCATTAGCAGAGGTAAAAAACGTTTTCCTTTCGTAAAAACAATCTGCTTCGTTGGTGATATTTTCACCTGTTCGATTGTTTTTGTTTTGCTTTCTCGTATTCACGCGTATGTTCGGGAGTTCACTTCGAATCCAGTCACATTCAGTTGTCATGACTGCAAGTACGTTTTGAAAATTAATAATAATATTAAAATCGTACGACCTAAATTTAGCTCTTATAACTACTAGATATTTTAACTGGCATTTTAAAAGAAAACGGGTTGGAGTTTGATTTAATACGTTTTTGAGTTATTTTCGGAACTTGTCATGACTCTATCAACGATCTATCCATTGCAAAACTAATGTTCTAGACCCATATGAAACAAATATTAAAAACAAATGCGGTTTAACGACAAATTAAAATGAAATTGTACTAATGGATTTTTGTAGATCTTCATTAATTAATTAAATTGGCTCCAAAAAAGTCGACAGCACAGAGAACTAGTTGAAATTCTAGGCTGTTTTCCGGTGTCATCTCAGGATTTAAAACTGCGCAAAATTACAGCGTTTTTATTAGCAAGTATAATCTAGTGAATAATGTATATGAACAGGTTAGTCCCTTCAAAACTGGTTACCGGTTTTTGAAATTGTATATCGCTATATCGCTAGGTACTTTCTCATGTGTTTTTGCATCAAAATTGGCCTCACACATTTTCTGCCACCAAAAAATTTTTCTTYTTTGTATGTCTCAAGGTGTTTGGTCCATTCTAGTTGACATTGATAACAAAACCAATACATATTCTTAACCACAGAAAGCTAGCCACACACACACACAMAAAAAACACGATCAAATCGTGAGAATAACTCACACTTAGGGCGCGATTACACGGATAAGGCAACGCGTACGATTGCTTCTTCGTTGCACCGTGTAGACACTCTTGCAACTTGTGTCGCAATGCTGTTGCAAGACAAGTCGCAGAGAAAATTTCACCGTCAATCGCACCTTTAATATCGCTTCAAAATCACTCTATATCAGCCCAGGGGTTGTTTTTAGGGTGTCGATATTAGACATATTAARATTTGAAGTTATTTTTCTTCAAAGGTCAGTTGAAACGTTAAGACTTTTAGAACTAAATATTTTTCTTCAAARATTGAAATGTTAACAATCTTAACACTAAATATTTTCCGGCAAATTTTCAAGCTTAAAATGTTTGTTTTTACAAGAAAAGGTGTTGTCATTCCTTGTTGTTTTTAAGCACTTGTGAAAATGATCAGAATAACACTCAAGGGAATAGTCGGCTGGCAGGCCTGGATACTATTTTATATAMTAATGCTTATTATAACTTTATTTCTTGCGGTTTTGTAGGCTTATTCAACATGCTAACAGAAAAGTTGACGGCATCCACGTCATTGAAAATCCACTGGGGCCAAGAACAAGAGTATATTAAGATTATCAATGAGTCACGCTACACTAATCTGGGATCGACCAATAAGATGGTTTTACCAATTACCATAGAGACTAAGAGCAATGATCCTTGTTTTGTCAGAATTTACGAGTCAGCGGGCCTGGCATATGTGGTAAGCTACTTTAGTGATATCATTTATAGGTTTAATGAAGAAGTGAAGAAAGCCCTTGCATAAAACGGACAGATCGGAAAACAGTGACACAGATAGGCACCCACATACGGAAGACACACACACACACAGATGGACAAGTAAAACAGATTGACAGACAGATAGACAACATGACAGTTAAAGATAGGCAGACACAYCCACATACAGAAGACAGACAGACAGATAGACAGTAAGATACAACAGATACTGTAGCCAAAGAAAAACGTACAAAGGAAGGAAGAAAAAATCAAATTGCTCCAATTAGTTTTAAACCAGATCCCTCGGTGATATTGTGGTCTAACTGAATGCTTTTTCAAATTTTCTTTTATCAGGTTAGACGAAATGTGAAGAAGCCACTAAACCAGCTTGCAGGTTCTTTCATTAACGGCGGACAAGTGATTGGCCTTACTCTTATCCTTACCGGTATTGCTGGGATCTGCATGTGGTTGCTTGTAAGTWTACGTTACATACATGTACGTTCAATGCTCAACTAGAGACCTCGTGCCTGGCTGGCAGCGGATTTATCAACTAAACTCATGCGCGCAGCGCTTCTGGCTGATCTGTGTCACCTTGTTTCTTACTGCGCATGCTCGAGGAAAAAATGTAATTATTTAATTTTAATGATTTCATCGCGCATGCGCAGCTAGTGAGGGATAAGGGTTCTGGGTACGAGATTGTGTTATCAAAGACATAGTTTTTCATGGGAAATTTCAAAATGTATAAAATATTTTTGTCTAAAATGTATTTAGGATCGTAGGAGAAATCCTGGAGATTTCCCKCCATCTTTTGTGCGCGGTTCGTGGCAGGGATTCTGGTGGGCTTTTGTTACCATGACAACGGTTGGGTAAGCAAAATTTATTTCATTACGTATGTTAGGGGGAGGGGGGAGGTGAAAATTGAGAGGAGTCTGATGATTATTTTTGAGTTGGATGGGTGGATCTAAAAATTTCATCTCTCTTCTGGCATACATTATGAATTCATTCTAAGCTAATTTTGGAGAGAGAGAGAGAGGGAGGGAGGGAGGGAGGGAGAGGGAGGGAGGGAAGGAAGGAAGGGAGGGAGATTTTACGAAAAGATATAACACTCAAGGGAATGACATGTGGTGTGAAACGGGGGAACAGTATCTACCTCTACTACAGGTACATGTGATATGACAATTAAAAATTTCCCATTTCGTTCTTAGGTATGGTGACCTGGCRCCCAAGTCAGTTCCCGCCAGAATGTTCAGTATCTTGTGGATGCTGCTTGGCCTTGTCGCCTTCTCTGTTTTGACGGCCAACTTCACCTCATCTTTGGCCAGAGAAATCGAGACAGATTTGAATTTATTCAACAAAAAGGTAA